TTATGGATTTTTCGCATTGTTGAAGGCAGCACGGTTGCCTATAATTGCTTACATCCACTTCATTTGAACTTGGGTGGATAGTTGTCTCATTTGCAATCATGCAACATCTCCTTATTTTTATATACTGCAGAGACAGTTAAATTAAATATTCAATTGAAAATAGTTTATGATTTCAACTATCAGTTAATATAAAAGTTAATAAAACTATTCATTAATTAAAAATCGACAATGTAAATATTGTTAAATACAAACAACTTACATCAGCTTTATTTTGTCCAATTACAGATAATTATCACATCGAAGCATTTCAATGTGTTTTGACATTGTCATTAGCATCCTGTAAGTACTATAAAATATATGAACATTTTAATTAAAGGAGGATTCGTGAAAAATAGTTTCCTATTTCTGTCTTAATTTTTTTTATCAACGTGTTTGTAAGGAGTCTGCGAGAAATTTAATAAAATTGTCCACACCATACAAGGATTGTGCATTGGATAATGCAATTGTACAAAGCTTTAAATTTTACAATGAAGAACTTAATAAATGGATATATTCAAAAGTCCAAATTGAACTACCACTTAATTTAGATAAAGTCTTATTTAGGATATTAGAAAAAAACAGAAAAAAACTACATAAGAAACCTCATAATATTATTAACTAAATATTATATATACAAAACAAAAATGCAATGTGGACAAGTAAATATTGTAGCCTTAAAAATTATCTTAAAGAAAACTTGTTTATTGAAAAAATAATATTTTATAAAAATAAACCATTGCAAAGAGCGTACTCCTGCTGGAACCTCTGGCTCCAACTAATAGAATGAATATACAAGTAAACTTTTACGTAATAAATATATCTACCCAATCCATGCTACCCATGTTAGGTTTCTCTTTTTTTACCATTATTATTATTTTTAAGTTTGTCAAATGATTCAAAATATCAACTATATGTAATTGTCTCAATTTTGCTGATGTACTATGGACTTACTTACTATGAAAATTTATATATGTAGCTTTTGCCAATAAACACATTACAAAAAAAAAAAAAAAAATTCCGATATCTGTGAACACTCATCAATTACGACGTTATAAGTGTTGTAGGAATTTTACACTCTTCTTCCGTGAGTGTTACAATTTTATTCACTAAGTATCAAAAAAGCGTTTTTTTGTAGTTCAAATTACATAATAGAAAAAAAAAGGATATGGGTATCCATCCAAGACACAAAATCAGTAAACGCATAGCAAACAATACAAACAGTGATGGAACAGCACTTGCATTGCAGTTCTCTATCTCCAAGTCACAACGAGGCTTTTAGACGGAGCAAACACTCTCACATCACTGGCAGTAATTTTGGTTTTGCATATCAAATAAACAACGATTTCTAATGTGATTTTTGTCATTAATAATTTGAAATAACTTCAATAAACTCAATCTTTGTGTTTGCCAACATATCTTTTTTTAGAGATGGATGTTTAAATATGTAGTAAAAAACGAGAACATTGTTAACAGATTGAATTAACCTTTAATAACGATCTCCGTGTCCTATTTGTCTGTTGTTTATTAACATGGTTTTTGTAAGAGATTCTTCATAAAGGTAATGTTCAGAGGTCAAAAAATGACGCACGAATTAATCAACAAAAGTAAATATACTTCTTTGATTGAAAGTTGTACTGGCCGGACTAGTAGGTACAACCAAGTCGCAATCTCGGCGAATATATAAAGAAAACAACTTGTTTGGAAAATTGTAATAATTATGATATTCCACCAAAAAGGTTACAGTAGTCAGTGTATTGGTAAAACTGCAATAAAACAAAAAGCAATACTTACAATGTGTATGAATTGAACATATTAAAAGTTTAAATGCAAATATTATATAAAACAATCAAATGAAAACGAAAGTGGAATTTACGGTTCAAATATCAGATATAAACAACTTACAGTTCGTATGATTGATTGATTGATTGTTGGTTGCTTAACGTCCAGTGGCAAATATTTCATGCATGTTCAGGACGAGAACAAGTTAACAATAAATACAATAGGTAGGTCCTGTAATAGAGGCCGTCCGGGATGAAGGTCGGGGAAATTTGGACTGCCACGGGAAAATGAGGGTATATTGGATAGGGACAGAAATTTAGCCTTGCAACAGGCCACCTACGGACCCCTCAAAGAGTTGTTGCAAGGGTTCTTAACGTGCAAAGAACGTGGCACTCTCTTTACACGAGACATCGGATTTAACGTCCCCATTCTGACCGGACGTGACTGCGAACTTGTACATCCCGCACAGCCAAACGGACGCCCCACTTTAGCGAGGGTTTTACCGCCGGTCGGAGGAAGACCAATGGTGACCATATTTCTATTCCCCAGTCACCCTTGGGGGTTACAGTTCGTATGCATTTATCAAATCACTTATACAAATTAACGGAGTTAAACATATTTCATTATCACAGTTTATGAATGAATCAAACGTACTTGACAGTGGTATGTCTCGATTTCCTCAGAAGATTAAATATCGTCCATGAAACATGTGTTGAAATACTGGAGCAGACGGTGTCACAGAAATTAAAGGCAGTCGCGTAGTACAATAAATATGGTGACTTAAGCAATCGGTCCAGTGCGATTTGTTCCGGATACTTATGAAATCATATAATAAACATTGAATGTGAAACAGAATAAAGTAATAAGGACACAACTGATTTCATATTAAATTCAAATAAAGATACATTGGTGTAGGTCTATTCTATATACAGTAACAAATCTATTTTGAACATGAAACTTTATATCTTTCAGGCGTTGTTTGTATTATTCTACTGACAAATCGGCGACATTTGAGAAGATGTATCAAACTTCCAAATAGTAAGTGCATACACTTTAATTATGTATTCGTTTATACTTTACTTTTCTAGATTTATTTTTAGTTCTCTATTTAAATAAAGAGTAAGACACACATGTCTATACTATAGTTATCTATATCTGTTTTTAGTTACTTGTTTTAATAAGAAGTAAGCCACACATATTTAAACTCTACTTTTCTATATCTGTTTTTTTAGTTATTTTTTTAAATAAGAAGTCAGACAGACTTTTTTTATACTTTACTTTTCTATATCTGTTTTAGCCCGTTGTTTAACTAAGATGTAAGACACACATGTTTTTACTTACCTTTCTATATTTTTTTAGCTCTTTGTTAAATACGAAGTAATACTCACATGTTTATAATTTACGTTGCTATGTCTGGTTTGTTTTAGTTCTTTGCTTAAGTAAAGAAAGCCACACATGTTAATAATTTTTGATGCACAAAAGACAGATAATTATACTGTACGTAAAATATAAAAACGTACATAGAGGGCATGCGTACTGATTTTGTCAGTTTCTTGAAGAAATGATAGTACATGCCATAAAACAAGAAGTTGAGTGTTTCAAGATGCCGTAATTTTATTTTTAATTTCTGGTCAAAGTATTGTAAATAGAACATTTTTTCTATATTTATGGTATAATGATAATTTATAAAATTGGCAAATTAATTCTATTATCGACACAATTGTGCGCATACATTATTTCGATTTACGATTTTCTTTAAAGAACACGTCATACAATTATTAAAACACAGCTGATTGTTCATTGTTGCTTGTTTTGAGTCCAATTAGTATATAAAGGATAAGAACAAAGGAGAAGATCAGGAAGTGGAAGTGGAAGTGGAAGTGGAAGTGGCCGCGTTCGTGCCAAATCATTGATCTTGATGTTTTCTTTTTTTTAAAACCGTTTGGGTGTCGCTGCTGGTTGACTTTTAGTTCCCCACAAAATCACCAGCCTAGTAGTAAGCACTTATATGTTGACAATACATTCTTTTTTAAATTAACAGTATTTTTGTTTTATTTGACTTCCCAACTGTTTGGATTTGAGCGCCACTGATTGATTGATTGATTGATTGTTGGTGTTTTAACGCCGCTTTTGGGGTATTTCGTGGCGGTCAGTTTTTATGGGTGGAGGAAGCCGGAGTGCCCGGAGAAAACCACCGACCTTCGATAGGAAAACTGACAATCCTTGTGAATTAAGATTTGAGTCGAGTGCACCCGCACGAGCATGGTTCGAACTCACAACCTCAGTGTTGACTGGCTATTGATTACAGAAGTAGAACTTCTTGGACCACTTGGCCACCGAGGCCTCTTGAGCGCCACTGATGACGTTTAGTTGACAATTTGACTGAAACCATATTGACGATATATTTTTGTCATCTTGATCTTTAGATATACAAAATGTCCGCCTTTCTTGGAAGGAAATCTGTACCTTTGATAGCTTCGACTGTTGTTATCGCATTTTGTGTCTCAAACTTTCAAAATGGTGTATTTGATGACGTTATAGCACATGTCATACTGTATCTTATTCAATTTATTCAACAAACCAAAAAGATTTGGAAGTAAATACAGCTTTTCCGTCTCATTTTTCTAAAGTTTTGATGTTTTGTCAAATAGTTTATCTGTAGTTTTCGCTGTTGCCATGTTGAGGCACATTGTTGTTAGTTTTCAATGCGAAACCAACAAATAACAGCATAACCTATTTAGTAGACGTGATTCTAATCTTTTATTGGGTTATTGAAAGTTTAAAAAAAAAAACTATTGAGCTTGGAGCATATATAGTTTACCCTATAGTAAATTAGATTTTTAGTTTTAACGTGAAAAGTATACATAGTTTCATATTAATAAAAAAACACATGTTTATAATACAACATGCAAATCTCCATTCAAATAAGCTAACCAAAATAATTATTATAAATATATTATGTATATTTTTAAGAGTTAGCTCTATATCAATTAATAGATTACTTCATATACGATAAAATGAGAAAAATAACTAATAATGATACGTCTATTTTCTGTTCAACGTGTTTGTTCGTGTATATTTTGCGATTGCTAATGAACACCTTTTTGTTTTACTAAGACTATATCATTTTCTATATTTATTCTCAAACATCACGTCACAGATATATACTTTTTCAGTTTTGCCAGAAGCAATAAACCATTTATCAGAGGAAGATAAAATCAGATACAATGAGCTTATGCAAACTGAAAAAAAAGAAAACAGGTATTTTGTTAGAATTATGATTGTTGGAAAGGAATCGACAGGAAAAACGTGCCTCTTGAGGAGATTATTGAAGGAAGAAATATCTGGTGTATCGAGTACAGATGGTGTTGATATTGTTGTTCGTAGATGCAAAATCAACATAAGAGATGGAAAATGGATAATCGGCAAAGGTAAATGCATACTCACTGGTGATTCATAATGATTATCAATTTACAGAAAAAAATCCACAATTGAATACACTTGTTGTATATATATACTTAAAACACAAAATAAAAGTCTATTTCACGTGAAGATTGTTTTAAGTATAGCCTTTAATGGTTAATCGCAAATATTTAGAGACAACTTATCAAACTTCAAAATTCATTGGTACATATAAACATTGCAATATATCATAAAGAAGATTCGTGGTTATTTACGTCTGTTTCGAATAAAATTAGTGAAGTGTCAATATTGCTAATAGAGAAGAGGCATTCCGATTTTTAAGGGCATACGATACAGTTTCGATCCCATGATGAATTTTTGACGAAAATTTGCATACAAGCTTTTTTTTCACTTAAACAATTCAAATATGTTATAAAAAAAATACATCTTCATGTGCTACTTTTAGAGATAACTGGGGTCGAAATTTTAGACATTTACTCAACATTTGTTTTTTTGGACATTTCTATCCTTTGGATAGACATAAATAACTTTTTTGTTTCAAAACACGCGCGGATTTTTGTGAAAAAATCTGGAAAAAAAATTTTCCGTAAGTATGCTTAGATTTGTATAACAATTCTTTGGAAATAAGTAATTTTTATCAAAGTTTCAAGATTATAGAAAAAAACCCGTTAATTTTTCTATATATTTATCTTATTTAAAAAAAAAAATCATTGTTGACTTTTTCATGAAAACTTGTACAAATAATCTTCATACGTAATCAAACCAAATGTTATTTTAAAAAGGAGGGGTCCATGAACTCGTTTTCGAGTTAAACCAGTTTGAATGATAAAAATCAGTCGAAAAATGCATCTTTTCCCGATATGTCACAGATTGACGTTGCAAAAAAAAAAACATTTTCCGTCAGCAACGTCATTACCTCATCTGTAACTGTATCGTATGCCCTTAAAAGTGATATCTTAAATTACAAATGACAACGATCTCGGAATCCTGGATTTAGAACCACGCCTTTTAATATATTCTATACATTTACGCTTACTCATGTCTACATTATACGAACTTCCTTTCTAGGTGTGTGCTCCTCACACAAAAATGCTTCGACAGAAATCAACTCCACAAAAGTTCTAAGTTCACCATTACAAATTGTGTCTGTGTTTTAACTCACCAGCGTCGTAGTCACAAGATACTTAAAAAAAACAAAAACGTTAAATATATTTTATATTCTTGACTGACAAGTTTTACTACGTAACACTTGTACCTCATGGGCTTTCTTTTAAAAGAAAATCTTTTATCCGATCAAATCTTCCGAAATCCACACTGCTATTGTATTATTGCCCTTTCGTATTCTAATTCTCAAAAAGCTGTTGCGAATGCAGAGACCTTAACCACAAGACATCTCGTTAGTACTTCGGCAACCGAATAGATCAAATGCGAAGAAACAAATCGTGATTAAAGAAAAGGGAAACACACCTAAAGTTGCATAGGATTGATAATCAAATAGAAACTCATTGAAAAATAAAATAAAATTTAATCGCTTTAGGGCATGTCGTTCGTTTCACTTATTGTTCACGTTCTCCATGATTCTGTGTTCATAAAGGCCACGTTCGTTAAACTTCTTCAATTAAACCAGAAACTATTCACTACATGAAATGTTTTTGTCGATCATATGTTATGGATTCGTAATAAATGTAAAAATTGGTTCAAATTTCAAGAGATTCGTTTCATGTGACTTTTAAAATCTATAAATATTATTTTACCATCTCATATTCGCAGCGGAAAATAACTAATGGAACTGTATTACAGGCTCCCGACTTGGGACAGGCACATACATATAGTGGCGGGGTTAAACATGTTAGCGGGCGCCCATCACTCCCTTAACCTGGACAGTGGTGTAACAGTACAACATAAGATCAAACTATAAAAATTAGTTGTAAAAGGCTTAACTCAACAGATGGATACAAATAGAAATACCTCTAAAAAAACACATATTAGACGTGGCCGGGTACTTGTACATCCAAACAACAAAAAAACACTAAATACAGATCTAAGAGTACTCCCAGTAGTTGCTGGCAGCTAATTCAAAGCCAATAACAACTAATAAAAAATCATGCATCTAAGACTAAATATTTATAAAAAGGTTATCTTGCAAAAAGCGGTGTACAGATCAGCTCATTTCAAATCGGTAAAAAGCAACAAAAGACAAACTTTGAAAGAAGTGGTTTTTTGATACGAGTAGTTTACAATTGACAATGAAGTCTGCTTTAGAGTTCTTGCATTCTATCTTTGACTAAAACCATTAACCCTACTTCAAATAAAATTAACTGATATCAAGTTAATACTTTTTAAATTACATATACCAAATGGATAAAGATATTCAAATTTCCGGGTTCAGAACTCAGTGACAACTAGGTTTATTAGATCAGTACCGTCCTGACTTTTTAGTTTGTCAGAATTGGGACGTTAAATCCGATGTCTCACGAAAAGATTTCGCCACACTATTTGCAAGTAAAGAACCCTTGCAAAAACTCTTTTAAAAGTCCGTAGGTAGCCCGTTGTAATTCAACATTCTATCCTAATTTAATTAACCCTAATTTTTCCTGTGGCAGTCCAAACAGTCCTGACCTTCATCCCGGACTTCCACTTCTACAGAACCTACCTATTGTATTTATTGCTACTTTTGGTCATGTTAATAGTTATCAAAGGTACCAGGCTTATAATTTGATACGCCGTACGCGCGTTTCGTCTACATAAGACTCATCAGTGACGCTCAGATCAAAATAGTTATAAAGCCAAACAAGTATAAAGTTGAAGAGCATTGAGGACCCAAAATTCCAAAAAGTTGTGCCAAATACGGCTAAGGTAATCTATGCCTGGGATAAGAAAATCCTTAATATTTCGAATAATTCAAACTTTTGCAAACAGTTAATTAAAAAAAAATGACCATATAATTGATATTCATGTCAACACCGAAGTGCTGACTACTGGGCTGGTGATACCATCGGGGACGAAACGTCACCCAGCAGTGGCATCTACCCAGTGGTGAAAATAGTTATCAAAGGTACCAGGCTTTTAATTTGATACGCCAGACGCGCGTTTCGTCTAGTGGCAGGTTTACATTATATTTTAAAAGGGCACGGACTCATCTTGAACTATCTAAATCACAGTTTCCTCGCCAAATTTGTTTGTCAGATTTTTTCAATGAATCTTCTTCAATGATTTTAAGCTTAAGTACACTGCAATTACGTGTCAAAAATCCTACAGTGTCCCTACGTTATGGATCCCTGAAAATTATCCAATCAGATCCTGTTGGCATTTTTAAAGGGGTGTTAGACTGACCCTGTACTGCACTTTTTTACATTTGTTTATTACCATTATCTTTCAAACACTTTATACATGTTATAGTTATCCCAATACTATGGCCTCATGATGTCCAATCATAAAAATATAGACATATAAAATGTAAAGCATGTCAACTGTTCATTAATCGAGTTTTTTGTTGCTTGCTTGGCGTCAAGTTGCAATTAATTAATGCATATTTGAGAAAAGAACTATTACCAATTAATACAATATGAATATAAGGCATGGTGAGACTCCTGGCATGAAGGGCGAGGGAATGGACTGCCACTGGAAAACAATGCTATGGTGGATAGTAACAGCAATGTATTGCCACTGAGCTGGAGCAAGTGTTATATAGTGAATCGTGTACCCTCTCAGCACGATACATCAGATTAACTAATAGACTGATAATCCCCGAGGGTATCACCAGCCCAGTTTACGGCTTTTTAGTAATTAAAATTTGCTGTTACAAAATTTTGGAAATTATTTAAAATTAAGGAATGTATCTTCTTCATGCAAAGCTCTGAATCCTAGTCCGGCTTTAGCTATACTTTTTTGGTGTTTTTTATTTTGATTTATAGCTCTTTATCTTTTTAAATAAGCTGTTTATTTTCAAATATTTTGGCCTCGAGAATCACTGAAGAGACATTAATTGTCGAAATGCGCATCTTGTGCAGAAAAATTGGTACCGTTTAAGTTATTAAATGTCCCCTTCTTGTCACACATGGCTACGAACTTATACAATCTGTACAGCAGAACGAACGCCTTTCTAAGAGAAGTTTTAAGTGATAAGCTGGACATTTTTCTATACCCGAGTTTGCGTTATGGAAGCATTAATTTTATAACGAGTTGTTTTAATTTTTAATAGCACTGGGTCGATACCTCTGCTGGTTGACTATTAACCCGAGAGGTATCATCAGCTCAGTAGTCAGTACTTCGGTACTGACATGATTTATAACATTTCTAAAATTGTCCGTTTATAAATTTTGAAATTATAAAGAAACTGAGGTTTCAACTCCCTCAGTAAAGTGACATATGACTTGACTATTTTAAGTACTTCTGGTGATTAGGGACTTTCCGTTTTGAATTTCCTCGGAGTTCGGTATTTTTGTAATTTTACTATTTTCATATAGCTCTTTAACTGTTTCGGTTGTTATAAATCATTGGCTTTCAAATATATGGCGTTGAGCGTTCCTAAAGGTAAATCCAGAAAAGCGCTTCGGACGAACTATAATTTATAAAAAGTGTTGTTTTCATTTTTTTCACTTGGGATATTTCAACCATTTAAGTAGGGAAACGTCAAAGCACAACATTTTCATTTCAAGTAAGGGGACGACCATTTGATATTCTGGGGGGGGCCAGGAGGATTTGTTTTGGATCGGTTATTTATTTTTGTAAACTAAGAGGACAGATTATTTATTTTCTGCACTGTTGAAGCAAGATTTTTCATTTTCATTAAAACAAGGGACTGATTATTTATTTTCATAACTATATTAATAATATTTGAAAACATACAATTTTTAAATTCATTTTTTATTATAAATAATACATGTACAGTCAAGTCATTAATGTACCATTTAATCAGAATTAATCATCCTCCTCTGCGGAAATGAATCTTCTGAATTCCAAACTGCATATACATGTATTGCATACATACACGGTATTAGAGTTGTGCTGTGACGTACTAGCCTCTTTTAAAAGCATTGCGAAATATATTTACGCCGAGCGGAGCGAGGCAAAAAAATTTTGAAGAGTTTTGAATGCTGCTGAAGGCCCAAAGAAACTATAGAACAAATGATGCAAAATCGTGCTTTCTGGGCGTTCCCAGACCCTTTCTTATTCTGAAAACGCAAGTTCTGTTTTAATAATTTTTTGACAATATTTTGGTCTCAAAGCAAAATGTATAGATTCAGCGTAAGACTTAAGTTTTTGTGGACAACATCAAAAGACCAATATGAAGAATAAAGTAAAAATGTAATTCACATAGTTAGGTATGTGGCTGCTGGTTTTTTTTTTTTTTGTTGTTGTTTCGGCATTTAAATCTTTTATACCTGTAAATTATATGGGGTTTTATTCAAATTAAATTAAGAGGGGGCTGATTATCAGTGATATAACTATGTCAAGTAATTTTTAATAACACATTTCAATTACAACTTGATGTAGCTCTTAACTGGGATACAATTTAAAGTAGTTAAGTTGTAAAATTAGCTAACAAGTCCTAAATAAAACAAGAGTGCACACGCTGAAATGTCTCGCCTTCTTTACTAATCATTGATATTATGTTGATAGTCCTAAATATAAAGCTTTATTACAACTGTCACATAAACTTAACATTAACCAAGTAAACTAAACATTGACCAATGAACCATGAAAATGAGGTCAAGGTCAGATGAACCATGCTAGGCAGGCATGTACAGCTAACAATTCTTCCATACAACAAATATAGTTGACCTATTGCTTATAGTTTAAGAAAAACAGACGAAAACACAAAAACTTAACACTGAGCAATGACCTTGAAAATGAGGTCAAGGTCAAATAAAACCTGCCTGACTGACATATAGATCATAAAATATTTCCATACACCAAATATAGTTGAACTATTGCATATAGTATTAGAAAAAAAGACCAAAACTCAAAAACTTAACTTTGACCACTGAACCATGAAAATGAGGTCAAGGTAAGATGACACCTGCCAGCTAGACATGTACACCTTACAATCATTCCATACACCAAATATAGCTGACCTATTGCATGCAGTATTAGAAAAAAAGACCAAAACCCAAAAACTTAACTTTGACCACTGAACCATGAAAATGAGGTCAAGGTCAGATGACACCTGCCAGCTAGACATGTACACCTTACAATCATTCCATACACCAAATATAGTAGACCTATTGCATACAGTATAAGAAAAACAGACCAAAACACAAAAACTTAACTATAACCACTGAACCATGAAAATGAGGTCAAGGTCAGATGACACCTGCCAGTTGGACATGTACACTTTACTGTCCTTCCATACACCGAATATACTAGACCTATTGCTTATAGTATCTGAGATATGGACTTGACCACGAAAACTTAACCTTGTTCACTGATCCATGAAATGAGGTCGAGATCAAGTGAAAAATGTCTGACGGGCATGAGGACCTTGCAAGGTACGCACATACCAAATATAGTTATCCTATTACTTATAATAAGAGAGAATTTAACATTACAAAAAATCTGAACTTTTTTTTCAAGTAGTCACTGAACCATGAAAATGAGGTCAAGGACATTGGACATGTGACTGACGGAAACTTCGTAACATGAGGCATCCATATACAAAGTATGAAGCATCCAGGTCTTCCATCTTCTAAAATATAAAGCTTTTAAGAAGTTAGCTAACGCCGCCGCCAGATCGCTATCCCTATGTCGAGCTTTCTGCGACAAAAGTCGCAGGCTCGACAATAAAACTCATGATCAAGTTGAAAACAAAATTAATAAATCACAAAAGGAATGCAACACTAAGAGAATACAGAAGGACAATCAATGAACAAAAGACAAATTTAAAGAAACATTGATCCCGAAAAAACAGGTGCTACGTCCAAGGGAGAACAGAACTTGATTCTTGCAAAAACTCGCTGTGAAAACAATTTGATATGAAGACAAGCTTTTGGTTTTAAAATTTTCTACATAAAGGCATTTGCCTCAATGTAGTTACAGCCCTGGAATAAAAGTGAGGTAAGTGTTCCTGAGCCAATATACCTAAAGTTAAATGAAACCCATTTTCAGTCATTTCAAGTATATTTAAATGATACATGTATTTATACCTTTATTATTAAAAGATTTGGGAAGTGTTTCCCGAATTTTTTTTGAAAAAAAGATGAATTTTATGAAGAATCTGGTGCCACCTCATACTTTCGAATAGCATTTATAAAATGGCTTAAAGACCTGCCGAGTTATTTATTTTCAATACATTGTAAGTCAGGTTATTTATTTTCGAACTACCACAGAACAAACCATTTATTTTTGTGATTATCAAGGCTGAGTTATTTATTTTCAAAATCCTCCTGGCCCCCCCCAGAATATCAAATGGTCGTCCCCTAATGTTTCTATTCGCCTAAACTGTAATAAAAACTGCATTGAACTATTCTAATGAACCAATAAAATAAAGATTAAACACCGTATGGATGGTATGGGAAACTACCACTACTGCCAATAGATAGCCTTGTAACTTGTTGTAAAAGATAGTATTGTTTTTTTTTCTAATTTTGTTTTCCTGCCAGAAATTGACGATGATAAAGTGAGCCGGATTAAGAGAGCACTGATTCCAAATGCCGAGGACAGAAACACTGAAAATATTGAGGTAGATGAGAGAAATAATATAAATATAAGTCATGGTGATGATATATCTACCTATAAAAAAGACACCACAACCGACATAACGGTTATTCGGGATAAAAGTGAAGATACAAATGAGTCTGAATTATTGGTAATGCTTGAGGATTTCAAAGCAAAATCAAAAGTTAATCTGGATAAAAAAGGAGATACGAACCAGTCTCCATCTTTGGTAATGCCTGAGGATATCACTAGCGACGCAAAGATTAATCTGGATAACAATAAAGAAACGAATAAGTCTTCATCATTGGTAATGCCTGAGGATTTGATGTCAAATATGTTTTCCAAGTCAACTGTTAATTCTCCTTCAAACCTTTATGCATTATGTGAATTATGGGACTTTGCAGGACAAAAAGAATTTTATGCTACACATCAAGCATTTTTAACAAGTAGTGCAGTATACCTTGTAGTTGCAGATATGAAGGACGACATAAGTAAACAAGGATTGGGTCAGTGTTTTGCCGATTTTCAGCATATTGGAGGTATGTTTTCATGTAAGAAATTCAAATGCAACTAGATTTGTAATTGAGAGCAATAACGGATGGCACCCTCGTCCCCCTATTGCCAGGGTAACGACAGCAATTTTGAAAATCCCAAAGTCAAACAGCGCATCTACACATGCCAGTTAAAATTGTTGTTAAGTTTCATGAAGTTTGGAGCATTTTAAAATTTTTTATAGTTTTGCTGTTTCAATGGTCACGGTGACCATTTCAAAAATTCCAAAGACAGAAACCACATTGGCACATGACAGGTTACATAACCATATATTTTTGTTTGTAATATTCTTTGAAGAAACTGCTGCTTTAATGTATATTCCCTTAGGGTCAATGTTAATCTTTCGCCCTATTTCCATGACAATGGCAGCAATTTTGGAATTTCTAAATATTGTGTCTGCCCATCTAGACATACCAAGTAACATTTTCATAAAGTTTCATCCAGTTGGGTCTTATATCTTATGTGTTGGTCAATATCTGAAATACAAGTTACCTTAATTATGTCCTTATGCTGTGATCATGTCAACAAGTAATAGAAAGTAAAATAAAAAAAAATAAATAAAACGGGAAGTTCCTTCTCAAATGTCAAAATCAAAAGCTTAGTGTTAAAACAGTCAGTGTTAGGGTACATATATTCAAAGTATCATATTTGGTCTCAAAACATTATTTATTAAACACTGTTGATATATTTCAGAATATGTTGATTTTTGGTTTGATTCTATCCATTGTCATCGAACAACCGACAAACCAGCTAGGTATGGCCACTTCGATCCTCCGATTTTATTAGTTTTCACGGGAAAGGATAAATATGACAAGGTAATACAATTGTAGAACGCTGTTCCTCACTTCCATACCAGTCATGTACATGGTTTCACTTAGTATCATCCGTTCTTGATCGAAATGTCATCAAAAAAATATTTGCTAATGAGACGTCCATCCATAGAAGATCAAAAGTTATAGTTAGCAAAACCTACAAGAAATGGTTACCTATACATTAGTTATAATACAACAATAACTGAAACGATAATTACAAACAACAGCTGGACTCCTTCTTTTTAACAAGCACATTTAGCATGTTTGATCTTAAACGTGTTTATGGGCGCTCAATTTAACACAAACCTTGGACAATAGCTTAACACAACAAATTATGAACAAACAAAAATCCGTTGAAATAATCGTTGCCAGATTAACGTCAAGTGACATTTATTTCATGCATATTCACAAACAAAACAATAAATAAAGTACAAATATATATGTTCTGCTATATGAGACAAAAGGGATTTAGCTTGGGGACTTAGGACTGAAAACATTGGTTTGTTGGACAGGAACATGCATTTTGCCTCGCTACAGGCTACATAAGGACCCATTAAAGAGTTTAATAAAAAGGAAAATCTATATGAGTTTTTTTGTCTTAGGCATAACAAAGTTAATACTTTTTACAAAAAAAAACAAACCTATCTTGAGGAATGCGTAACGCATCTCAATTTTGTTCTTTTAAGGGTTAACAGTTTTCCCTGTTGGAAATTTACAACGTTAATTTCAGGTATAACATGTTAGGAATGTTGAATTGGTATTCCATGTCCAGTAGAAAATATGGCATGCATATCAAGACAAGGATAAAGGTTCAACAATGTGCCATTTTTTTTCTTACATGTTATTGGTTTCAATTGAAATTAAATTTAAGATTCCAATACCCGAAAAGTACGTCTAATGGAGAGAAGATGACATGACTTGAATGAGATTGCCAAAAAAAAATGATTTAGAACTATGCATATTCTTTGTTCATAAGGGATTAATTCGTTGTTGTTTATTTGACGCCCAGTTTCAAATATTTCATGCAGGTTCAGAACTAGAACAAAAAACAATAAAACAGGTAAGTCATCAAATACGGTGTCAACCGATTTGATGGTTTTAAAAATTTCAAAGCAACTTCGAAGTGGGGTTATGAAGATTGAAACAGAAATTTAGCCTGGTAACAGGCTATTGTATGGGCCTTAAAAAGAGTTGATGCAAGTGTTCGTAATGTGCAGAGACCTCTGTGCTCTCTACATGACTCATCGAACTGCACGACCCCGTTCTGACTGGACGCCGTTTGATACAACCTGCTAAGCCAAACGAACGTCCCACTTTGGCAAATGGTTTACTGCCAGTCGGTAGAAGACAACGGTATTACTATAAATGTATGCCCCAGTCAAATATTGTGGGTTTTATAAGAAAATATGGTATGATTTTAAAAGGGAAAACTATCCATTTGTACAAAGCAACACAATATAAATAAAAAGGGTTTTGATACGGCCTTTAACAACGATAAATACCCATGCAGTATAGTAAGCTATAGAAGGCCCATAAATTGTCTTTATAATTGCCATGAAAGGTAGTGATAGGTTGGAATGAAAATTATATATATTTGGGTTCATAATCTATTTAATTTTTCTCAATAATTGTTGATATAGTATCAATCATGACAATTGCTGATTCTTTTATCTATTTTCTGTAGGCAGATTTTAAGAAGAGAGAAAAGGAACTCAATGATCAAATAGACCAAGTTCTTGGATTTCAAAGCAAATATCATCACTTGCACAACAAGTTTTATCTGTCAAATACAAATGACAGTGACACAGAATTTGAGAAGTTGCAATACGCAATTTACGATACTGCACGGAAAATGGGAAATTGGGGTAATGCTTTTCCGTTAAAATGGATTCTTTCAGAACATTTGATTGAAATTAATAAGAACGATAACAAGCATTTCATCAACTTTACTGATATGTCAAATCTGGCTAAACATCCTGATATCAATATTATAGAAAAGGAGGATTTGTTGTTGTTTCTTCGATTTCAGCATAACGTAGGGAACATCATTTTCTTTGCTAATATACCGGATTTAATCATATTAAGACCCCAATGGTTAGCAGATGCTTTCCGATGTTTAGTTTCAGATAGAGTTGAAAACAGAAGATTGCATCACCATGAGGACTGGACACTGTTTATACGACAAGGCAAAATAAGCGAATCGTTAATAACAGAACTGTTCAAATCAAAAGATGGAAGTCAGTTTTCAGAACAGACAAATAATTTGCATGCAGTTATGGAAAAGCTTGATATATTGGTCAAAATTGGTAACTCAAATTATATAATGCCAAGCATGATGCCGCCCTCCACGTTTGATGTTGTATGTGAAAAATTTGACATTCTTACACAAAAATGTAAAAGGACTTCTTGGCTTTGTTTTAAATTTGAATTTCTCCCACCTTCTTTCTTTAACCATCTATCTGCCTGGTTTATCAGAAACTACTACTCTAGCAAAGTAGAGGGTGGTATTGCTTTATATCGTGGCATCTGTATGTTTGACATTGATGGATCTGGTGGTACAAAGATACTAGTTACTATGTCGACTGATACAATTGCTCTTCAGCTCGTGTCGTTTTCCGAAGAGGAGGGATTCGGAAGCACGTGCAGCGATATCTACAGAGAAGTGAAACAACTAATTGAAGATATAAAAGAGAGATATAAGGTGAAAATATCTTTTAAACTCCATTTCAAATGCAGTGATGGCTATTATTTTCAAGACACATTTGAATATGAGAAATTGACAAGTGAAAAGGAGTGTTTCTGTACTCAACATAAGCAAATGCATCCATCTGACCAGATATATTCGCCTTGGATGAATAATGAGGTATGTTTTTAAAATGGCATCTTTAACTAGAGGCTCTAAAGAGCCTGTGTCGCTCACCTTGGTCTATGTGCATATTAAACAATGGACACAGATGGATTCATGACAAAATTGTGTTTTGGTGATGGTGATGTGTTTGTAGATCTTACTTTACTGAACATTCTTGCTCCTTACTATTATCTCTATCTATAATGAACTTGGCCCAGTAGTTACAGTGGAAAATATTTTGTAAAAATTTACAAAAATTTACAAAATTTATGAAAATTGTAAAAAATTGACTATAAAGGGCAATAACTCCTTAAGGGGTCAATTGACAATTTTGGTCGTGTTGACTTATTTGTAGATCTAACTTTGCTGTACATTATTGCTGTTTACAGTTTATCTCTATCTATAATAATATTCAAGATAATAACCAAAAGCTGCAAAATTTTCTTAAAATTACCAATTCAGGGGCAGCAACCCAACAACATGTTGCCTGATTGGTCTGAAAATTTCAGGGCAGATAGATCTTGACCTAATGAACAATTTTATACCATCAGATTTGCTCTAAATGCTTTGGTTTCAGAGATATGAGCCAAAAACTGTAAAAGATTACAAAAATTTACGAAAAATGGTTAAAAATTGACTATAAAGGGCAATAACTCCTTAAGGGGTCAACTGACCATTTTGGTCAAGTTGACTTATTTGTAGATCATACTTTGCTGAACATTATTGCTGTTTACAGTTTATCTCTATCTATAATAATATTCAAGATAATAACCAAAAACGGCAAAATTTCCTTAAAATTACCAATTCAGGGGCAGCAACCCAACAACGTGTTGTCCGATTCATCTGAAAATTCCAGGGCAGATAGATCTTGACCTGATTAACAATTTTACCCCCATGTCAGATTTGCTCTAAATGCTTTGGTTTCAGAGATATAAGCCAAAATCTACATTTTACCCCTATGTTCTATTTTTAGCCATGGCGGCCATCTTGGTTGGTTGGCGGGGTCATCGGACACATTTTTTAAACTAGATACCCCAATGATGATTGTGGCCAAGTTTGGTCAAATTTGGCCCAGTAGTTTCAGAGGAGAAGATTTTTGTAAAAGTTTACGGACGACGGACGACGGACGCAAAGTGATGAGAAAAGCTCACTTGACCTTTCAGGTCAGGTGAGCTAAAAATTGCTTAGATTATCATTTGGATTCCCCAACAGTCTATACTTAGTCTGATATTGTCTGGACACGTTCTAAACAGTCTTAACTCAGTCTGATATTGTCTGGACACATTCTAAACAGTCTTAACTCTGTCTGATATTGTCTAGACACATTGTAAACAGTCTTAACTCTGTCTGGATACGTATATTATCAACTGTCTGAATGTTTGCTGTAGTACACCCCCTCTCTCTTTCTCTCCCGGGAACTTTTAAGAGTTAATTTTAAGATGGCAAGCCAAATTAGCAAAACCTAATTAGCATTGGTCTGTATTAAATGGTAATTGTAATGCTAATTTTATTGAAAATGGTGATGATAATAATAATGGTAACAATAATGTTAATGATAATTGTTATGATAATAGGGAGGATGGTGATGTGGCAACATATTATCCATTTTTATATTTGTGGCATGTGCATATGAAACATGCATTTTCATATTTCGTAACGTGTATTTTTGTATATAGATTAGACAGTTGGTTTTCCTGTTTGAATTGATTTATACTTGTCATTTTGGGGACCGTTATAGCGTCCTGTTTGGTGTGAGCCAAGGCTCTGTGTTTAAGGCCGTTATTTGACCTATAATGGTTTATTTTTCTCATTGGCACTCATCCCACATCTTCTTATATCTATATATCAAATATACATTGTCATATTTTGTGACATGTGCACATCAGAGTATATCAGATGTTTTGAAAATAAAAACTTTTCAAATGGCAGATGAAAAAATCTTGTTTCCAATGAAAAGTTAAATACAGCGTCAACTTAACTTCACAAAAAATACATGATGGTCTTGAAGTATAGATTCTAGGTACTAACGTTGTTAATCTTCTTGATTACGTGCTATAGTGTCTTTGTAAAAAAAAAAATTCAGAATGTTAACACAAAATTCATAAAAATTCAGATACAAATTATTCATTTTGGATCTGATGACTTTGCAGTGAATGCATAATCACTTCTCCTCGACACACAAATGGGAAATTTTTTTAAAAAGACGGTAACAATGGTAGCATAATGAACTGTATGTTAACTGACTTTAAATTTATTTCTGTTACCATGTATGTGTAATACTTGTTGCTGGACGTTAAATAGAAACTTATCATTCTGCAAACAATACATTACAATCTACATATTTTTATCCATCATGTAAATGGGTTTTGCACGTAACTTGATACACATACCGTTTATTTACGAAAAGTTGCACGGCATCCTTAATTTACGCAAATGTTTTGTAAACCTTTTCAAGTGTAAAGCTTTCCATATGCTAAATTAAAAGTATGATTATAACAAACTCACATGTCAATGACATACTTACAAAGATATGGCAAAAAAAAAACCAAGAGATAAACAGTATACAAAACTCAACATAGAAAACTAAAAACGGAGCAACACAAACCCCACCAAAATCCAGGGGTGATTGCAGATGCTCTGGAAGTAAATATTTATATGTGTATGTCGTTTCTGTGCTCATCGTCAATTTTCACATTTGATATAGTTTCCATACTACTATGCAGATTTTAGAGATCGCTAATTGCGTTAAATGCAAAAATCTTATTCAAACATTATTTAGGACACATGTAGAATCATTAAAAAGTTGATAATTCACTTTAAGTAAGAAAATCTTACAAATATAACGTGTATTCCTAAGGTGAACTAAAGGCTGAATGGTTGCCGTGACAACGTTAACAATCTGTCGGAACATCCTGTACATTTTTATTACATTTGTTGTAAGGGGCAACAATATCTTATCATATTTTCTCATGTTATTATTGATGACAATGCCTTTTAAGCATTTATGGTCTATTGATTGGAGGGTCCAATAATTAGAAGTGTATATATGCACGTTATTGGTCTGCTGATATTAGTCCAATTATTAAAATTACGATTATTTCAAGCGGTTGTCCAAAACGGATTTTAATTACATATTATCCTTCCAGAGCGAGAACAACTTCAAGTTTTTATGTTTGGTCTGTGTTACTCCGTCCATAGTTTTTTATGTTGTGTTTTTTGTACTCTTGTTTGCCTTTTTGTCGTTTTTTGCCATGGCATTGTCAGTTTCTTTTCGATTTTACATGAGTTGAATATCCCTTTGGTACTTTTCGCCTCTCGTTGACAACAGTTAAGTTTGTATTGTATTACGTGGTTATGAAAATATAAATAAGCTTAAACTATAGTAATCGAGTAAAGCAATGATGGAAATGAGTCTTCTACAGACTTGTTATTGGCGCGACTTCTTCTTGGGCACTCTAAATGTACCTTTTTATGTGCAAAAGCTCAACGATGACGTATGAGGAACGTTCACATTAAACATACCAATTTTACAGCACCAGATGCGCATTTTGACAATTAGCGTCTCCTCAGTAATGCTGAACATAATACAAACGTTGAAGAGCTGATAATCTTAAAAGGACCAAAAAGTAAAGCCGAATCTGGACAATGAAATAGAACTATGCTTAAGGGAGATACATTCTTTGTACAAGGAACCAAAACTAGAACTATGCATAAGGGAGATACATTCCTGGTACAAGGAACCAAAACTAGAACTATGCATAAGGGAGATACATTCCTTGTACAAGGATTCAGAACTATGCATAAGGGAGATACATTCTTTGTACAAGGAACCAAAACTATGCATGAGGGAGATACATTCTTTGTAAAAGGAACCAGAACTATGCATAAGGGAGATACATTCCTTGTACAAGGAACCACAACTAGAACTATGCATAAGGGAGATACATTTCTTGTACAAGGAACCAAAACTAGAACTATGTATGAGGGAGATACATTCCTTGTACAAGGAACCAAAACTAGAACTATGTATGAGGGAGATACATTCCTTGTACAAGGAAACAAAACTAGAACTATGCATAAGGGAGATTCATTCCTTGTACAAGGAACCAAAACTATGCACGATTCCGAATTTTTTTAACAGCCATTGTAATATAACAATATCCATCACTTCTTGCAAGCATCGAAGTATTGGTTACTTGGCCAATTATACCCTCGTATAATTAGAAACCATTAGGAGATATATCGATCGTGGCTGAAAAGTCGCACAGTTATATGTATCGAGCTGGTGGTAGTAATAAATCGAGTGCAATCCGTGAAGACCGATCAGTCAGTCTGAAGTACAGGCAAGTGGATTCAAGATATCCTTGGGGACTAAAAGTCTATTAGATGTATCAATCCAGTAGTAGTAATCAAATTAACATTAACGGTACCAATTTAACTCTACCAGATCTGCATTTCGACAATCAATGATGATCGAGACCAATATATACTTGAGATTCAAAAACCGAATACAAACGTGTAACAGCTGATAAAACCAAAAAGACCGAAACGTACATCTAAACTCGGATAAGGAGCTATGCATGAGGATAAAACATTCTTTAATACAAAATGATTTAAAATTGTTTAACAAAAATTCCAATAAAAAAATATCTGTATTTCCATGCCAGTACTGGGCAAACGATACCCTCGGATACGAAAGGTCCTCCAGCAGAAGTAAAGATCCAGTGGTTATAATAACAACAACATTAACGGTAATAATTTTACTGCACCAGGAGCGCATTTCGACATACACGTTTGTTCACCGATGCTCGAGGCCAAACAATTTGAAAATACAAAATCCTATCAAAACGACGAAGTGGGGACTAAATCAAAATGACCAAAATGAAGCCAAACCTGGACAAGGAATCATAGCTATACACGAAGGAGATACATTCCTTGCTTTAAGATGATTTCGAAATTTCATAACAACAATTTAAATCAAAATAATATTCGTGGTTTTCATGCAAATACCAATGTACTGGCTACTGGGCTAATGCTAACCTCGTGGTCAAAAAGTCCCCAAGCTGTTGTAATAATCTGAGTTTAACCCCTAACACCGATCAATCAGTATTCTCCTTATAATTTAAATGGATTGGTGATGTGAACTTGATTGATCGGTGTTAGGGGTTAACGACTACTGACTATCACTGAAACGGTAACGCATAAGGTTGCAATTGCAAGTACTATATCTGAAACTAGTTTATATGTAATTCTTTAAAAATATCTTACAGGTTAAATTTCGCATAACCTTCTAATAGGTTACGTATTTCAATAATCATACTTATTTTATAATCAGTAGAACATTATGAAAGGTTTATCTACATTGTAATTATGTAGGTTTTTTTTTTAAATTATTATTTCTTTTTTTCAGGTTATTTTTATTTTTTATTTTTTTTTTCAGGTTACACGGATTCCTGACAGAGCGAACATAAGTACCAAGCAGGATGACCATAATCCAAGTAATATCATTGTTTACATATTTTCCTTTCGTATATTTATCTTTTAACCGGTTTCATTTTTTCTAGATCATATATTAATGGCGATATAACTCTTCAGTCCTGTCCTTAGAATATTCCTCTTTATGCAAAGGGAACAACAAAGAAAGGAGACGTTTCTTAATTCAGAAGAATAAAACATAGTTTTTTAAAAGTTTTTCAAATTAATGTTGTATTCATAAATATAGCTTTCCCCCAGCTATAGGTCCGAAGCGCTTTTCTGGATTTAACTTCATCAGGAACGCTCATAGTCGAATATTTCAAAGCCAAGGATGTATAAGGACCGAACACGTTGAAGAGCTTTTAACCAAAAAGGACCTAAAAATAGCCAAATCCATCCTAAGGCCAACTTTGCCTGAGGGGGTTGAATCCTTAGTTTCTGTATAATTTTAAGATTTATAAACTGTCAATTCTAGATAATTTGATATAAATCATGTCAGTACCGAAGTACTGATTACTGAGCTCATGATTCCCTCGGGAACTACACTTAACATATTTGACCTGATATGCTCATTTCACACAGGTTTTCGTCAATATATATTTATACATATGAATAACAGCTTTACTAAGAAAGATGTTATACAAACATAACATATTTGTAAAATACAATTAGTTGCAACATGTCGTTCTACTGTTTCTCATATCAATTTATTAACGACAAGATCAAGAGTAGGGTATTTATTGTAGTTTTTTTTACATGTAAAAAGTTTTAGACTCGTAATGCAAATATAAATGACACCAATTCAAAAAGCAAATACTGATGTCCATTTGAACATCTGATGATTGTTATAAGTAGGAATTAAAGGTGGTAAAGTGGCCTTATCATACAATTTCATCCCCAAGGTGACAGGGGAATAGAAATATGGCCACTACAGGTCTTCTCCCGACCGGCAGGAAAACCCTTGGCACACTGGGGCGACCGTTTGGCTGAGTGGGATGTACAAGTACGCAGCCACGTCACGTTAAATCCAATTTCTCGTGTAAAGAGAGTGCCACGCTTTTTCCACGTTAAGAGAACCCTAATAACAATTCTTTGATGAGTCTATAGGTGGCCTCTTACAAGGAAAAATGTCTGCCCTATCCAACTAACCCTCAATTTGCAGTGGCAGTCTAAATTTTCACAACCTTCATCCCGGATGTCCTCTATTACAGCACCTGTATATTGTATTTACTGTTATTTTGTCCTCGTCCTGAACAAGCATGAAATATTTGATACTGGACGTTAGCAACCAACAATCGATCAATCGTAACATTCTCCTTGAAGCGGTTGAAATAATACAGATGTGAATTTAGGGATATATATGTATAAACGTTTCTAATTTCATGATTTATGATGAATTAAGAAATTACTAACAAAATAAAGCTTCCCACTACCTGAAGCAAAGATGAAATTACTGATGTAGATGTAGATGAATTTGGTCTTTTTATGGTCTTTTGGTGATAAATCCCCTAACGTTTCAACATATCTTTACATCCCAGGATATCAATAACATTTAAATAAAATGTTGAAGGGTTGATAAAACGAAGAGGAATCAAAAGTAACGCCAAAACTGAACTCAATGTTACAGTTTGAGATTTCCTGATTAATAAAAATCAAGAAAAACACTTCCGAGACAAGACATTGGTAAAGTGTTATTTTCATTTACCTGCACTGGATTGATACCAGTGCTGCAGGGTGATCTGTTTAATCCCCGAGCTCAGTCGGCAATGTTTCAATTCCACCTTGATCAATTATGATTTTTTTTAAGAAGAAAACGTTCCAACTCACTCGGGCAAAGCCTAATTCGATTGATTGTTTATTAGCTGTTTAACGTTCAGTGGCAAATATTTCATGTATGTTCAGGACGAGATCAATATATCAATGAAAACAATAGCAAGGTCCTGTAATAAAAGACGTCCGGGATGAAGGTCGGGGAGAAATTTAGACTGCCATTGTGCAATGAGGGTTTATTACACAGGGACAAAATTTTGCCTTGCAACAGGACCCCTTAAAGAGTTATTGCAAGGGTTTTACACGTGAAGAGAGCGTGGCACTCTCTACACGAGGCATCGGATTAAACGTTCCTATTCTGACCGGATGTGGCTGTGTACTTGTACATCCTGTACAGCTAAACTGACGCTTTACTTAAACTGATCTTTCATACATGTTTCTTTGATGTCGTATGGGTTTTACCCCCTGTTGAAGGCAGAACGGTGACAGGTAGCTGTTTATTTCTATGTCAATTGGTTTCTGAAAGAGAGTTGTCTCATTCGCAATCAAACGAAATTTTTATTATTTTTCTCTAAGTTCAGAATAGAGATAAACACGTGTACCAATAGAAAATTGAAGTTAATTTAATAGTTAACGAAGTTTTTCGCAAAATGACGATTAACTTACATAACCCTTGGAATGTCTTGGTGGGTCAAATATATGATTCATTGGTCGCTGATTACCGGAATCAAAAAGTAAAAAAAATCAAAACGGCATGTATGGTAGGGAAAGGTATTATAATATTGATTGATTGCTCGAGTTTTAATTGCTTAACGTTCAGGGGAAAATATTTCATGCATATTCAGGAAGATACACTATCAACAATTAATGCAATATGTAGGTTCTGTCAGTAAGGCCTCCCGAGTCGAAGAAATTTGGACTGTCAATGGAAATGAGGGTATGCTGGATAGAGGGTCGACATTTAACCTTGCAACATGCTAACTCTTGATCCTCCAATGAGGTGTTCCAATGGTTCTTTAACGAGCAGAGAACATGACATTGGACGGGATTGCGTAGTTAAACATCCCACACAACCAAACAGACGCCCCACTTTGATAAAGATGTTACTGCCGATCGGGATACCAGGGACAATATTTATATGACCCATTCATCCCTGTTGTTTAGGTATATCAGTGATATTACATTTAAGTCTTCGACTGGTATGAAAATAAAGAGTATTCTGAATCTTGACAGCCTCATACATGGTCAACAATTTTGCTTCGAATAGGCAACTCCACAAATGTTGTAATTGGAAGCTGCAGAAACCGTGTCATTACCATACATAATATTCAACTTCTCAATTCTGATCTGACGTAAATGCGCATGTTGACATCCCACAGAAATACGCGAAGCCTCTCGAGGCGAAACCTTGCTTCTTAAACGAAGAGATTTGTGCGGTTAGTAGGGGGCTTTCTTGCAAAACTTGCTACATGCCAGATGTTTGTCAAACCGAAATACATCATGTACTAAGATGTACATAAATATAATATTCATTTACCTCCTATTATAAACAAAAAACAAAACAGAAACATAGTTTAATTCATGAAGAATATTTTTTAAAATATTTTTCAATGAAACTAAACATCGGCCACCACAATCCGCAGAGACACATGTTTTCTGAATTGTAAGCTCGTTAAAGATCGATTAACTGTTGTTTGCTTTACCTTCATTGGCAAATGTTTCGTTCATGTTCAAGACGAGAACAAATTAAGAATACCTTTAAAATGCAAGTACTGTAAAGTAAGACAATTTAAACCCGCTCTACTAGCCAACATCTCCGATGTTTTTCTACTTTAATTATTTTGACCGATTAAATTCGATGTTTGTTTTCTTTACAACTCACAACCCCCTTTCTCAAAAAGGGTGATTGGGGAATATAAATATGGTCACCATTGGTCTTCCTCTGACCAGCAGTAAAACCCTCGCCAAAGCGGGACGTCCGTGCGGAAGTAACAAGTTTGCAGTCACGTCCGATCAGAATGGGGACGTTAAATGCGTCGTGTAAAGAGATTGCCACGCTCTTTAAACGTTAAGAACCTTTGCAACAACGATTTGCGGGGTCAGTATATGACCTGTTGCGAGGCAAAATGTCTGTCCCTATCCAGGATATCCTCATTTTCCCGTGGCAGTGCAAATCAACCAGGATGACCTCTGTTACAGGACCTACCTATTGTATGTATTGTTAATTCTCGTCAATAACATGCATGAAATATTTGTCACTGGACGTTAAGTAACCAAAAATCATTCATATTGCGTGTCTATATGTCATTTTGGTTTTCTTTGTTTCATCAATTTGTACGTAATCACGACCCTTGAACATATTTCATGACAAACTTATTACCCGTTCATATATTTAAATATTTTATTGTGATTTTACTTTTTATATAATTATCAGTACATTCATCTGAATTTGATTTAAAAACAGAAAAAAAAACAAGCATACAGATATTCAATCGAAAGATAAAAATAACCGACTCATTTACATTTTACCTTGGTGGAATTGCAACCCACTGATATATCTGACACATCAAAAAGACACCTATTTCAGCGAAACGTCTATGTAAAACTTTCATATAGAAAGACCACCCACCTTTTTTTCCCCTCGTGATTAGGACAAAGGAAGCATATACATATATTTGTGTTAAAATACACACAGATTTACAATTCTTGGGTCAAACAAATATCTTCTCCCACTACATTGGTGTATCCAGTACATGCCTATGCTCTACACATATCTGTTTTTCAATCTCTGTCATTTTTACATTTTTTTCCGATTTTCCTTGGATTATATGCTGTTCTCGATTATGCTAAGCTCGAATTAGAGCTTTAACGAGCTTTCAAACTTGAAAGTGAATATAACACTTATAAAAATAAATAACATCCGAGAGTGAAAAATTCAATACCTCATATAGAGTGTGCAAAACAAAAGAAACTCTAAACCCTTTTAGCGGTAAACTGCATTTTAGATTAAGCAATACATTGTTGAAATAACCAACTCGATACTTGATTATATATTTCAGAAAATGAACCAAAAACAGAAGCTCAGGACCAAACATCTGTCAAAACCAACCTTCCTGATTCTGTCAATTTGCGTCAAGAGTTAAGGGGACGACCATTTGATATTCTGGGGGGGGCCAGGAGGATTTTGAAAATAAATAACTCAGCCTTGATAATCACAAAAATAAATGGTTTGTTCTGTGGTAGTTCGAAAATAAATAACCTGACTTACAATGTATTGAAAATAAATAACTCGGCAGGTCTTTAAGCCATTTTATAAATGCTATTCGAAAGTATGAGGTGGCACCAGATTCTTCATAAAATTCATCTTTTTTTCAAAAAAAATTCGGGAAACACTTCCCAAATCTTTTAATAATAAAGGTATAAATACATGTATCATTTAAATATACTTGAAATGACTGAAAATGGGTTTCATTTAACTTTAGGTATATTGGCTCAGGAACACTTACCTCACTTTTATTCCAGGGCTGTAACTACATTGAGGCAAATGCCTTTATGTAGAAAATTTTAAAACCAAAAGCTTGTCTTCATATCAAATTGTTTTCACAGCGAGTTTTTGCAAGAATCAAGTTCTGTTCTCCCTTGGACGTAGCACCTGTTTTTTCGGGATCAATGTTTCTTTAAATTTGTCTTTTGTTCATTGATTGTCCTTCTGTATTCTCTTAGTGTTGCATTCCTTTTGTGATTTATTAATTTTGTTTTCAACTTGATCATGAGTTTTATTGTCGAGCCTGCGACTTTTGTCGCAGAAAGCTCGACATAGGGATAGCGATCTGGCGGCGGCGTTAGCTAACTTCTTAAAAGCTTTATATTTTAGAAGATGGAAGACCTGGATGCTTCATACTTTGTATATGGATGCCTCATGTTACGAAGTTTCCGTCAGTCACATGTCCAATGTCCTTGACCTCATTTTCATGGTTCAGTGACTACTTGAAAAAAAAGTTCAGATTTTTTGTAATGTTAAATTCTCTCTTATTATAAGTAATAGGATAACTATATTTGGTATGTGCGTACCTTGCAAGGTCCTCATGCCCGTCAGACATTTTTCACTTGATCTCGACCTCATTTCATGGATCAGTGAACAAGGTTAAGTTTTCGTGGTCAAGTCCATATCTCAGATACTATAAGCAATAGGTCTAGTATATTCGGTGTATGGAAGGACAGTAAAGTGTACATGTCCAACTGGCAGGTGTCATCTGACCTTGACCTCATTTTCATGGTTCAGTGGTTATAGTTAAGTTTTTGTGTTTTGGTCTGTTTTTCTTATACTGTATGCAATAGGTCAGCTATATTTGGTGTATGGAATGATTGTAAGGTGTACATGTCTAGCTGGCAGGTGTCATCTTACCTTGACCTCATTTTCATGGTTCAGTGGTCAAAGTTAAGTTTTTGAGTTTTGGTCTTTTTTTCTAATACTATATGCAATAGTTCAACTATATTTGGTGTATGGAAATATTTTATGATCTATATGTCAGTCAGGCAGGTTTTATTTGACCTTGACCTCATTTTCAAGGTCATTGCTCAGTGTTAAGTTTTTGTGTTTTCGTCTGTTTTTCTTAAACTATAAGCAATAGGTCAACTATATTTGTTGTATGGAAGAATTGTTAGCTGTACATGCCTGCCTAGCATGGTTCATCTGACCTTGACCTCATTTTCATGGTTCATTGGTCAATGTTTAGTTTACTTGGTTAATGTTAAGTTTATGTGACAGTTGTAATAAAGCTTTATATTTAGGACTATCAACATAATATCAATGATTAGTAAAGAAGGCGAGACATTTCAGCGTGTGCACTCTTGTTTTATTTAGGACTTGTTAGCTAATTTTACAACTTAACTACTTTAAATTGTATCCCAGTTAAGAGCTACATCAAGTTGTAATTGAAATGTGTTATTAAAAATTACTTGACATAGTTATATCACTGATAATCAGCCCCCTCTTAATTTAATTTGAATAAAACCCCATATAATTTACAGGTATAAAAGATTTAAATGCCGAAACAACAACAAAAAAAAAAAAAACCAGCAGCCACATACCTAACTATGTGAATTACATTTTTACTTTATTCTTCATATTGGTCTTTTGATGTTGTCCACAAAAACTTAAGTCTTACGCTGAATCTATACATTTTGCTTTGAGACCAAAATATTGTCAAAAAATTATTAAAACAGAACTTGCGTTTTCAGAATAAGAAAGGGTCTGGGAACGCCCAGAAAGCACGATTTTGCATCATTTGTTCTATAGTTTCTTTGGGCCTTCAGCAGCATTCAAAACTCTTCAAAATTTTTTTGCCTCGCTCCGCTCGGCGTAAATATATTTCGCAATGCTTTTAAAAGAGGCTAGTACGTCACAGCACAACTCTAATACCGTGTATGTATGCAATACATGTATATGCAGTTTGGAATTCAGAAGATTCATTTCCGCAGAGGAGGATGATTAATTCTGATTAAATGGTACATTAATGACTTGACTGTACATGTATTATTTATAATAAAAAATGAATTTAAAAATTGTATGTTTTCAAATATTATTAATATAGTTATGAAAATAAATAATCAGTCCCTTGTTTTAATGAAAATGAAAAATCTTGCTTCAACAGTGCAGAAAATAAATAATCTGTCCTCTTAGTTTACAAAAATAAATAACCGATCCAAAACAAATCCTCCTGGCCCCCCCCAGAATATCAAATGGTCGTCCCCTAAATATCCAAAAGTCAAAGAATGAAAATCCGTCCATTACTGGCTGTATCAAAATAGACAATACATTAGTGTTTACCGACTGTAGGAATAACCGACTTATTATTTGTAATTCAGACGGTACTGATATCCATCACATTCCTCTGTCCTATATACCATGGTATATGACAGTGATAAATATTAATACTGTAGCAGTATCCTGTGTATATAACAGAACCATACTGATAATAAATATATCTACAGGTTCTGTCACCAGTACAATCAACACCAGTGGTTACTGCTACGGAATATCATATAATGATAATAACCTGTACGTTGTTATTGATAGGACTATAATACATGTGATGGACCTGACAGGTAAAGTAATACGTACTATACCTTTACCTCCAGCCCGTATCACCGACATTACAGTAGACAGAGACAGGTTGGTTTGTATAGACGATACATCAATATACTGCTGCTCGTTAGATGGAAAACCAATTTGGAAGTTTAAAAAGGATAAATTTCAGGATTTAGTTTATGTGACAACAGATAATGAGAGGAATGTCTATGTGACTAATTATAAGACCAACACTGTAGAAGTTATATCAGATGATGGTAAACATCACAGAGAACTTCTTACTAAATCAGATGGATTGAATGGGCCGTGGGGAATTTATTTTGACAAAAAAGAAAATATTCTGCTTGTTTGTAATTATTATAACGGAAAGGTTTTTCTTTTTGACGTGAAAAGGAAATCAACATAAATAAACATGAATAATTCTTTCAGACAATGAGTTTATTCGGACTCGGGTCTGTTTGTGCATTTTGTCATTCAAAATAACTTCTCTTTATTTTTATTTTCTATACTATCAATTACTGATTGTCATGATCTGTACAGTTGTATTCTGTATTCAAAGTAAGGACAATATTAACAATTTATTATGTTCATGTTTTTTGTGATTAACATCTTTTTTTTTGTATGTGTGACAACAATTCAACTTTAAATTGAAATTTAGAGAAATGTTACAAAGACATGTTGTGACAACACATCAACTTTATATTGAAATTTAGAGAAATGTTACAAAGACATGTTGTTCTTTGATTCACGTCAATTTGGGGTTTGATAGTTGGAGAAAAAAATTATAATGCAAGTTATATATCATCACATCTTTCAAAACCACATATAAATTGTTTAAGACAATTATTCGAAATACAGACATTCTCTTTACGGATGTGTAGGTTGTAAATAAAATCTTTACAAATTTAAAATTGTATTGTGTCGTTCACCCCGGTAGTCTTACATGTACATTTTAAATACAAATAATTCAGATATATACATCGTTTATTTGTTCTCATCCTGAACATGTATAATATATTTGCCACTGAACGATATACAACCAACAGATAAACCAATTAATTATTTTATTCATACCAAACTATATCACATTTTTTAAGTTTATCAATGTGTTTATTTCTTAATTTGATGACAGGAAATGCGCGTCTAGCGAACACAATTATAAGCCTGGTATCTTTGGTGAGTTTTTGCAACCACTGTGATGATGCCACTGCTGTAGGACGTTTAGTCTCTGAGGATATCGCCAGACCAGTAGGCAGCCTCTTCAATTGACATGAATATTATCATATATTCATTTGTCATTGCTGTATTGTTTCGGCATTTTGAACGCGTAAATACCAAAACACCAACCGCGTTATTATTGAATATCATAATTACCTTTTTTTTTAAGAAACTCTTCATAGTATAGTTAACAAGATAAATGTAATGGTCAACATATTTGGTAGTGAGGAGAATGTGGAAATATTTGATGATACTGAACTAGTAACGGAAGGTATGCATTCTAACGAAGAATATTTTATTTCAATATTTTAAATTATGTATTATTTCGAATTAAGTGCTACACTATGAATATCAAATATTCTATTAGATTCTGTCAATGTCTTGTGATCTTTGTAAATCAACACGATATATAGAAAATTATTGATTAGTTTTTATTCTGATGTTTCAGACAACAAGAGAATCCTTATACCGGTTTTCATGCAACTTGACATTCCGACTTCATGGGATAAAACAAAAGTTTTTGAAGCTATAGATGAATTCAGATTAACCGGAACACCAGACATGAATATCCGAATTAAAGCTATTTCCATCGATGACCTCAACATGTATGCAGAAATAGCAAAGCAGGTCCTATGTAATGTTCATGAACTTCGTTCCGAAATTAACAAACTTATGTCTACGATGCTATCAGAAGCGGATATTGATACAAAAGAACATGCAGAATTGTGTGTTAACTTAAATGTACCAGACAGATCAGGTAATTTTTAATTTTTGATATCCTTAATAAGAAAATCAGAAATACTTTAAAGTACCAGTTAGACCAGGATATTTTTTTCTTTTTGAGATGGCAATCAGAAAAATAGTCAAGTTGAAAACAACTTTAATTGATTGCCCTCATACCTAATAAATTTGGCCCATTATGACAGTATTACAGAATTTATAAGAAGTAGTTGAATGCACTACTAATTCTCTAACTTAAACCATTTCTGTTGAAAAGACTGTCTATTTTACATTTTGACAATAATTCAAGAGTTTTACATAGACATAGTTTCATATTTTGTCAATTCTATTATTTAATGATTGGAAATGTGTATATCAAAACGGTTCACATTGAGGAATCCAACAAGTTAACAAAAGTTACATATAATTTAATTGTGTATACACCTGTTACAGGTTGATTATGCAATTGGTCCGAGAGCATATTCTATTATAAATGTTAGACATTTTACACAACTAAGATTTAGCAATTATGTGAAAATATCTTATTTTTACTTTTTTGTAATACCACCTCGCTAAAAGCCTTCATCGTAAAGTAATTGGATACGAAAGTCATAACGGTAAAATATATATATGCATACAGCGGGATTCTAGTCTTGTACACGATTGGTATTGATTGGTTATTGTTTGCAAAATGTCCAGTGGCAAATATGTCATGCATGTTCAGTACACCAATTCAAAAATAAATACAATCGGTAGGTCCTGTATTAGAGGCCGTTTGGGATGTAGGTCGGGGGATTGTTGACTGCCACTGGGAAATGAGTGTATATTAGATACAGACATTTTGCCTTACTACAGGCCACCTTCGATCCCTTTATAGATTTTTTGCAAGGGGTCTTAACGTGCAGAGAGCATTGAAGTCTCTAGACATGAGGCATCGGATTAAACGTCATCTTCCTGACTGGACGTGGCTGCGAAATTGTACATTCCCCAAAGCCAACATGACGCTACATTGTGGGGTTGTACTGCCGGTAGGAAGAAGACCTTAGTAACCATATCTCTATTCCCCAGTCACCCTTGGGCTTCTTGTTAAGATGAAGGCAGCAGACTTAAATGATAATTTTGGTATAGTGGATAACTTTCTGATTATCTCCATTTAAAATGAATAATATAAGTATGAATTAAGTAGATGTGTATTTGTCCTCCCCAAATGAAAACAATACAATGACATTTGACAAAAAAAAACGACCGATAAGACTCCGACAGGCACAAATACATGTGTTCAGATTAAACAATTTTGCTTTTGTCCTATAGTGCATACCATTATTTTCTTCCAGAAAGCGTATCGTTGATTTAAATGGTCACAAATTAAACTGACAATAACAGTGAAAGTCCTGTTTGTCTTCTTCCTTTTTATGTAGTTTATACCTCAAATATATTAAACTTCAAAATTTTAGATTGAGTTCGTTTCTTTTGAACATTTTAAAACCGGGAAAAATATTAGTTACATTAAAACAAGTTCAACTTCTAGAAGCGATTGAGATAGAAATGTATCTTCATGTATCATTTCAATGAAAACTGTGGATTATTTATTTTCGTGGGTACCAATTTTCGTGGATTGAGGATATTTTATTTCGTAATTTAACCAAAATTTGCATATAAGCCAATAGAAAACGCGTATTTTTTAAACACTTATTAAGTTCATGCTTCACCTTATACTTCGAAATCCACAATTAAAGACGCCTTCATTTAAATGTCTGGTTATATTGCACTTCATCCACGAGATACAAAATAACATTACAGTCGACGACAGTAACTAGTTGATTTAATTAAAAGGACAACATAGAGCACAATTTTAAAACAAATTTAATAATCTTTCGACTGGTATGCAGGACGGGGTATTCGGGATGTTGAAAACCTCAAAAACGAAGACATGTTACATGGGATCAACAACTATGCTTCGGATAGGCAACCCCAAAAACATTGTAATGTAAGGGTTGTACTGCCGGAAGGTAGAAGACCTTAGTGACCATATCTCTATTCCCCAGTCACCTTTGGGGTTCTTGTTAAGACTTAAATGATAAGTTTGGTATAGTGGATTACTATCTGATTATCTTTAAGCAATTGTCAATAAACCTCAGACAGGCAGAAAGACATGTGTTCAGATTAAACAATTTTGCTTTAAGACCTATAATTAATACATGCTAGTACCATTATTCAGGAAAACTTCTTGTTACTTTGAATGGCCACAATCATGCAAATAAAACTGACAATAACGGTGAAAGTCCGGTGATTTCCTTTTCTTCTTTATGTAATTGGTACCTCAAATAAATTTAATCTTGAAAATTTAAGATCGAGTCATGATTGATTGTTGCTAAACGTCCATTGACAAATATTTCATACATGTTCAGGACGAGAACAAATTAATAAATACAATAAGTAGGTTCTGTAATAGAGGTCGTCCGGGATGAAGGGCGGGGAAAATTGGATTGCCACGGGAAAATAAAGGTATATTGGATAGAGACAGAAATTTAGCCTAGCTACAGGTGTAATACCACCAAATCATAGTACGTCACATCCGGTTGCATACGAAAATAGGTCGAAAAAAAATATTCCCTTGAATTTGACAGTTGTAGGTAATTGATCCTAAATGTCATTGCAGTAAAACATTTCTGGGTCATAAACATATATCTTGGGTATTTCAAAGCACCATTATTTTTTTATTTGGGGTTTCTATAAAATATTTTGGAAACTTGAGGTTACATGGTTACTAAAGCTTGTACACAGGTTAAAAAAGGGGGAAAATTTGATTGGTTAACTTCCAGTGATGGTTATTTTCTTATATGCAATGAAATGTATTGTGAAATTTTTTCTATAGTACTGGACAGGATAAAACTTTACTCATGCCAAGTATTTCTTTATTTGAAATAAAGATAAATTCTGCACAATTTTTTGAAAAGTGCAAATTTAACAAAGACTAATAGGGGAAAATCAATGGTGGTATTACACCTAATATGGGAAGCTGTACATGCACCTTTGACCTTGTGAGTACTCTCATGTGTTAAAATTTCTTGCTATTTAAGTGAAATATTACAAATAATGAAATATTCTGAGTGGATTGAGTCTCCAAAACACATTTTATGAGAAAATTTCCTTGAAATAGGACTTTACCATGAATATTAGTTGACAGAACAAACCATACTTAGAGTTTTGGGGAGCTTTTTCTCCTTATTTCTTATATTCTGCTATACTAAAAAAATTTTCCTAAGAAATACTTTAATAAATATATAGTTTTAAGTAAATGAAATTATTTTTAAAGCAGTAACAACAAATTATTCACCAAAAGAGAAGCTTTTTATGTCCCTCTCTGGAACGCGGCGTTAATTTAAGTTTTACGTAAGGACTTATTGAAACCTCCTTGGAGACAGTAAACTTTTATACGGATAGTTCATTCAGCTTGAATACTTCAATTAATCATTTATTATAACATTTCTATCATAAATGAGTGAAAGTTACCCCAAAATTTTTATTTATTGGCCTAAAAAGTAGAAATTTTGAGGAAATGAGAGGTATAAATGGACCAAAAGAGACCTTATAAAGAAGACAAAGAGGTCCATTAGTAGCATTTATCATCCTAAAGTCATCTTTTGTATCATATTCAACTGTTTGTAGGCAGATGAGATAAATTTTTGACCATTTATTGGTCCACACTATATTCTATCATGATGCGACTTGGTTTGGATTTTTCGAAGAAATTTTGCTCGAATCGCTGTAGATGTTGTCTTACATTATACTAGATTTTTTTCAAACTATTGAACTGATTATGACAAAACTTGACAGTAATGCTTGAAATAACCAGTATTACAAAGGAAAAAAGTCACATTCAGTTTATTGAACAAAAAAGTCTTCTTTAGGTGTAAAACCACCAAATCATAGTACGTCACATCCGGTTGCATACGAAAATAGGTCGAAAAAAAATATTCCCTTGAATTTGACAGTTGTAGGTAATTGATCCTAAATGTCATTGCAGTAAAACATTTCTGGGTCATAAACATATATCTTGGGTATTTCAAAGCACTATTATTTTTTTATTTGGGGTTTCTATAAAATATTTTGGAAACTTGAGGTTACATGGTTACTAAAGCTTGTACACAGGTTAAAAAAGGGGGAAAATTTGATTGGTAAACTTCCAGTGATGGTTATTTTCTTATATGCAATGAAATGTTATGTGAATTTTTTTCTATAGTACTGGACAGGATAAAACTTTACTCATGCCAAGTATTTCTTTATTTGAAATAAAGATAAATTCTGCACAATTTTTTTAAAAGTGCAAATTTAACAAAGACTAATAGGGGAAAATCAATGGTGGTATTACACCTACAGGCCACGGACCGCTCAAAGAGTTGTTGCAAGGGTTCTTAACGTGCAAAGAGCGTGGCACTCTCTTTACACGAGGCATCGGATTTAACGTCCCCATTCTGATCGGACGTGGATGAGTACTTGATACATCCCGCACAGCCAAACGGACGTCTCAACTTTGGAGAGGATTTTACTGCCGGTCGGAGGATGACCAATGGTGGCCATATTTCAATTTTCCCGGTCACCCTTGGGGGGAGTCATAATGAATACTGTGGATTGTTTGTTTTTGTGGATTGAGGATATTTGATTTCGTGGTTTAACCAAAATTTGCATATAAACAAATAGAAAAAATCTTAATCTAAAAGTCTATGAGTTACCAAATAATATTTAAGGTGGCGACAACGATTGATTGATCTAAATAAAAAAAAAGACCACAAAGAGCACAATTTTGGAACAACTTAAATAGTCTTCGATCTCAAAAAGGAAGACATGTTGCATAGGGTCAACAATTTTGCTTCGGATAGACAACCCAAAAAACATTGTAATGTAAAGCTGTAGAAAGCGTGTCAATCCTACATTATATTCAACGTCCTTATTCTGATCTGACGGGGATTTGTATTTATACATCCAACAGAAGTACGTGAAGCACCATGAGGCAAAATCTAAGCCCTTTAATAGAAA